TCTTGTCAACTCAGCTCGATTTTATCGTAGTTGCTGGACGCTTTTGATTTTTGTCACTTGAATGTTCTGCATTTTTTACTTTAAAAGGACTTATGAAAAGTCAAAGCTCTTTAATACTAATAGTATAGTTTGTTGGAAACGTCAAAAACGTCCCAAGGGCTGGTCCCACAGTACTTTTATCTCTTGTGGCATGTGCATCCTTTACCGGATACTAATTGTTCCAATAGTTCAATGTAAAACTTTTTTTTGTATGCACCCCGATACGAGAAATGTCAAGTCCAATGAACAATCCAAAGGTTGTGCAAATTTTGATGGGCAAAGTTGTTTTAAAGAAAGCGATAGACTGACCGTAGTGACTAAGAATAATTATGGTATGCATTAAAAAGAGTTATTTACGACACTGTCAAGCAAGACTTGAGAATAAATATTGAGAATTAATAAATAGAAAAATAACTAAATAATACAGTAAATTATACAGTAATAGCATAGTGAAAAACCGGGCATAAAAAAACATCTCTTCGTGTGATGTCACGACGACAATCTTTAATCCATGCTAAACTCATTTTAATGTTTCACACATTTGCTGTTTGATACTTATCGTTATTGGCTTATTCATTTTCATCTTAGCGTTTTGCATCGTTCCAGTTTGGAATTCTTGAGTCTGTCAAGTTGTTGATTACAAGGCCAATTTCAAAGTATTTTTTTTAGGCATCAGGGGCCGGGAGATTGAAACTGACAGTTCATTAAATCACCAATTTCATAATCAGACAATTGATCAGATAAAACTACAGATTACGCTGATTGTTGACATGGAGAACTACTGCTCATTTTATTCGATCGTCAATACTTCTTGCAGCTCTTATAATCGAAGAGAAAAAAATTCAGAAGCTACAAGCATTCCTTTATTGAACTGCACTAAAGATATTTCATCTCATAAATCATCCCTTGCGTTTAGTGGTGTATACAATGAAAAGGACTTGATTCTCCTTCGATCTGGTTTGTTTGGCGTCGATCTACACAAACAAAAACAACTAATAATATGCTCATTTCATCGTTCTACACTTGGGATTGGCTGGGTTAGAACGAGCACTAAATGCAGTGTCCCTAGGAGTGTCGCACGACATAAGAGAAAGTCTGTCAAGGGAGACCGTGGCATAAGTGCCAAGACATCAGCACTTATATACGAAATGACTGCTACGTTAATTCCAGTTGGCTCAGGTATTTGTCTTACATTATTCTTCTTAAGTAATGCAGCTAGTCAAAATTGCTAAAAATCTCTTAAAGCACTCTAGCACTGGAAAATCAATATATGACTTTTTACTTCAAAGTGGGCCTTTATCTAGTTTTTCACTTGAAATTACCCACAATGCACTCTTATATGTCATATATAGGTATTTTTGACTTTTACATAACTCTTTCAAAACGCTGTTTCCAAATATACTGAGCTTGTTGTAGAAGGCCGAAGTGCCAAACGTCCCCAATAAAACAGAGATATAAAGCTTCATGTTGGTGTTTTGCTTTACTTCATTCTACTTATGTCAATTTATAGGTATATGCAGAAAATGTAGAGATCACTTTGAGTCTATCCCCTCCAAGGAGGAAAATGATAAAGACTTTCAATCAATGACATCCGCACTTGGTCAAATGGGTTTAGTAAGTTAAACATTTATTATTATTATTATTAATTTTAATTATTATTATTAATTTTAATATGATGTTGTATCAATTCTCTTAATTTCATTAACTGAGCTAAGTTATTTCGCTTCAATGAAAGACACTCCACATCTTCCTTTTCTTATTCTTTTTCATTACCGATTACTACTGATTTAATTTTTTAGTAGTGATTTTACCATAATCACTATCTTAAACATTATTCATCTTCTAATGTTGATATTTATAATTATGTTTGCTACTATTTATCTTCAACGTCATATATCATCATAATTATTTTTTGATCAATTCGCCATCTGGGGATAATGCAGTCCGTCGTCATACACTACATTTGATACTTTAGTCTATATCATTTTATTTGTTGTCGTTGTTTTTTAATTAAGATCCATTTGTTACAGAGTCAAAAAAAATCACTCATGATGCTCACGCCAAGCCCTTCTTCTAAAACCCTCTTTGAAACACCTGTAAGTATWTACAAGCCCCTTCAAGAAGACTCAGATGAAGAACACCCAAGGGATAAGCTCAATTCTTTTTTGGCAAGCAGAGATATTAGTCCAATACGCAATCAGTTAAAGACTCCTTGGGAGCAGTCCACAGATAGAACAAAGAGATATCACACGCGTAAGGCTAAGCAAGTAATTGGTGCTGCTCTAGAAGAAATCGCGCCAAACGACATGGATGAGCTTTTCAAATCTGTCATAGCTCAATCAAAGCAATATGAAAGTAATGAAGATACTGTTCTTTTGAATCTAATATCTGAATCATATATGAATGCTAATCACTGGAGCACGCGAAGGCAGATATTGTCTATTATTGCCGACCAAGTGTCGTTTCAAACGATCCAGAAGTGGATACCGGGAATAACTAGGTATCGTTTTGATGAAGCAAGAAAACATAAAGTCTCACATGGGAGGGGTGCAACAGTTCAGGTTCCTCAACACAGTAGAATGTACGTGTCTGATGATCAGCTTGATCATTTCTTGGACTTTATTACTAGCGGCCATATCGTGCAGGATTTACCGTTTGGCGAAAGAAAACTCAAACTGTCTAACAATGAAAGTGTTTCCGTTCCAAATGTTATTAGAACACTTATTCCAGAACAAATCATACGCCAGTACCATGCCTACTGTAACGAAGTAAATTTCAAGCCTATGGGACGCACGACACTGGTCAAAATCCTAACTCACTGTTCTGCATCAATACGAAAGTCTTTGCAAGGTCTTGACAACTTCAGCGCTGATGGAGCAAAAGCATTTGACGACCTGGAGGATGTATCGGAAAAACTTGGTGACTCTGGTGGGTTGGGTCTGTCTTGGTCAAAAGAAAAAAGGGAAAAGCTGAAATTAGCCAAGCGCTATCTCAAGGGAGATTATAAGGTGAGAAAGCTTATTTAAAATGCACCCATAGTTCTGGCCCAACGTTGTTCCAAAGAACAATACAAGAATAAAAATGAGTAATTTTGAACTTAGCTATGCAGATGTTTTGATGCCAAATTGCGCAATGCTGCATTTTTTACTGAATTTGCAGCATATAATGAGCTTTCAGTTTCTTTAATAAAGTTATTTTTTGTTATTGCTGTTGATATAGGTTCATGTCTCGAAAAACTCATCCATCGCTGACCACNGGCATCAGAAAGCCTTTGTCTTTCTCCTAGGCACTGGTTTAGTCATTAAGTCATTCATCTCAGACAAGCATAAGAGCACTACAAAGTGGATGCGTGAGGACTGCGTAAAAATGTGTAAGAGGCTTGGCAAACCAGTCATTGATCATTTCTTTGACCTTTGGCACATTGGTAAAAGTAAGTATTCTTTCCTTGAAATTACAATAATGTTTGTTCAATGCCTTCCATTTTCTAATTTGGGACTAATAAAATTAATAAACTTTTAATCTATATCAATTTCTCTAAATTCTGTATTTACTTCATACTTCCTGTAGAGATCAAAAAGGTTCTCAATAAGCTTGGAAAAGAAAAAGGCTGTGAACACATTGCACGATGGAGCAAAGCCTGTGTGCGGCATTTCTATTGGAGTGTAACATCTACACCACCAAAGGAGGGTGAACTGATTGTTGCAAAGTTAAAGTCCTTTCTGTATCACATAATAAATCAGCATACGAAGATCCCTGACTCTTTGTTTAATAAATGTTGTCATGCCACAATAATAACCCCAAGAGTATGGCTGACCAAAGGTAACAATCTTATCCATGACATAATTCTATAAACGTTAAACATTCAATTATAAATAACCATTTGCAATCATTTTTATAACCATTTATACATTTCATAGGTTCAGTTTCATAAGTGTACTGGAAACTACATGAGGCATTGACAAAGACAGTACTATTGAATGCCATTAAAAAAGCTTCACCAATTGCACAAACGAGCTCACTAAAGTGAGTGTTGTCAATCAATTTGCCCCCAAAATGTTTGCGTATTCGTATCATGGCATGTATTGCAGGTTAATACTTATACATCAATTTCCTTGATAAATCTTACTAAAAAAGGATTTACAATTTGTTTGATTAAAACTTTTGGTTTTCCCATATTTTATCAGAAACATACTTGCAGCACTTCATTTCAACCACAATGTCAATCGAGAAGCAAAACTTCAAAGCAATGGACAGCCTAAAGTTACGGTCACATACCAAAAATATAAAAATGGTGAAGCAACAGTTAGAGAATATAAACACCTATAGATTATGGTAATGTTAAATTTTATATACACCTACTTGCGAAAACGTTGTCATAAAAGAATAGGACATTTGTATTTTAGTAAAAAGAAATAAATTATAAAGACAAAAGAAGGTCACTGAGCCTGAACGCTTTCTTTTGTTTTGTCTTAATTTATTCCTTTTTACTAAATTCGAATGTTCTATTTTCGATGACAACGTTTCTGCAAGTAGGTGTATATTTTAATATATATTTTTTTATTATATATTTTAATCAGCAGTTATTCTTTTATTTTTTTATGTTAATGTTTATTTTATTATTATTATTATTTTTTTGTGGTCAGGAATAACTTTGCTACATGTATACTCTATACCAGATTATATCCCCAAGATATATGAAACCATGCTAACAACATCAAGAACTGAAATGAAAGACATAGAAAAGGAGATGGCACAAAATGTCCCACCGCCATTGCACAGCAAATTCACTGAGCTAGAATCCAAGGAAGATGCGAAAGAAAAATACAGAAAGAGAAAGGGCAAGGAAACAAAACTTTGTCCTCCAACATGTTCAGGTAATGCTAAATTTGCAATCACTTAAAGCATTGATTACTAAATTGTAAATTCCTTTATTAGCAACACTATATAATCACTGTAATACAATCATATATAAACACTGTAATACAATCATATAGCCTGCCGTTTTATTTTTACTTTGCTCCTCATTTTCTTAGATGCTGAATATCAAGCCTTCTCGAAGAAACAAACCCATAAACCCTCCAAACGAAGGCCACCACAGTGCAAAAAATGTGAAAAACCACTTAAAGGGCACCCAAAAGGTCGATGCAATCGACAGCCAGAGGGAAATTGAAGAAATAAGTAACATAGTATAACAGCCAATCAACAACAAAGCTATTTTGCAAATGGCTTCACAGATAACGGATTTTGCCCATCATTACGATACCATCTCACATTTCTATGAAAATCATTATTTCATCTATGACAAAAAAAAAACTTGTGGATGCACTATCAGGTAAAATATGTGAAAAAAACCTAGTCAACTGAATTGCACTTAGCTTTATATTCTCCATAAGCTTTTAATTCTAAATGCAACATGATATCCTCTACACCAATGCCACCTCAAAAAAAGCAAAAACAAAACAAAAAAATGAATGAAATATTGAAATAGATGCAACAAGAAATTTGATTTAGAAAATATTTCTAGATGAAATGTACCCCAACCAAAATGAAATTGATATTTGCTATCAATTTTGACTATATCCACAGGGGTTTCTCTTTAGAATCTCATATCACATAATTAAATCGCGCGCTGATTGGTCTGAGATGATGAAAATGTGACGTACATAGTGAAGGATTCAGCGCGGAATCCAACGCTTCAAAGCTGAATTCAATGAAAAATCAGGGATCCCGCGCGATTGAATTTTGATTTTGTCGTATTTTCTTTTCATTTCTTTCACAAATAACAATTCAAAGTAATAAGAATAGAAGCTCTTTTCATAGAGAAACCAAAAATGATATACAGGCTTTGTTACAATATCACTGTTCTATAAAAACGACCAATATTTGTTAGCGGATTGAAAAGCTGAATTCAATGAAAAGTCAGGAAGCCCGCGCTTTGTTGTTCTTTACTCGCTTCGCTTTTTAAGCTACTGTTATTTCACATGTCCAGTTTCAAATTTCCAAAACAACCAGAGGGGGAATACGWAAYASCAAACTTCGAAGTCAATTTATTCAACATCGAAAAGAGCCGCAAAAAACATCTTTCACTTGCCTCTACAAGGCGACGTCGTCTCRATAAAAAACAACAACAAACGTCGGAAAACACCGCCATGACCGAAGAAAACAACAATGGTAACAATGACATTGTCACGTTCACCGAACAAGAATTAGAAGAGTTCAAGAACAGTATGGTGGCTAAAAATACTAAAAAAAGTACGGATGTGGCTGTACGAAGGCTGGAGGCCTGGCATAAACAAAAGTATGGAAAAGAAATTGCATTAGAAGAAGTTTCAAAAGAAAGCGCTCCCGAGTTACTTAAGCATTTCTTCATCGAGATCAGGCAGACATCAAGTGCAAACAAAGGGAAGGAATATGAGCCGGGAACACTCCAGACTTACCGGAACGGCCTTAGAAGATACTTCTTAGAGCGTTCTTGTCCTCCAGGCATCGACAATTTTGACATTGATAAGAGTGGAGGGGCCTTTGAAGAAGTATCAACCATGTTGTCTTTGAAGAAGAAAGACCTCAAGAAGAAAGGGTTGGGCAGCAAGCCTAATGCCGCGGAGCCAGTAGAAGCACAAGATATTGAGAAGATGTGGGCCAGTGGTGCTATCGGTCTTGAAAATGCAAGAAGCCTTGTACGCCTTGTATGGTGGAACAATATAACACATCTTGGTATGCGAGCGGTGAAAGAACAACACGACTGTCAATTGCAAGACTTCGTCGTTCACGACCAGTATATAGAGTATGTCGAGAGACAAACAAAGAACCGTCAAGGGAATGAAGTTAAGGCGAAACGGTCCAGGAAGTACAATAATAAGATTTGGAAAACAGATGGTGGCCAGAGAGATCCATACAGAGCATTTGTTGAGTATGTCAACCATCGGCCAAAAGGACAACAAGTCCCCAACAATTTCTACCTGACACCGATTGAGGGCTCGTCGTCCGAGCTCGTCGTTCATTATCCTCTGACTGATCTTCTTCCTCAGACTCCTCTGCAGATGAAAATCCTCTGTACCTTAAAGTGTACATGACACCTTTTTGAAATTCACTTTTAACCAAAAGGTAACACGCTGCCAAGAACGTCTGTGAAGAAACAATTAGATTTTGAATTGTATTTTCTGAGTTATAGGCATTTCAAAATTGAAAATGCAAATGAGGTGACGTCAAGTAAGGAATTGGTCCTGACTTTTTACATTGTTTGTGTTATGTTGTTCTTTGCTGGAAGAGCTCAAATCATCAATCACAGTAATAATTGAGAGCTGAAAATGTTTCTTTTCCAATAAAACAAAAAGAATAACGTCCTCTTTCATCATTTTGTATATTAAATCATTCCTTAGTAGACGTCACTTCATTTGCATTTCTAAGTTTCAATTGCTCATAACTTAGAAAATACAATTCAAAATCAATTTCTTTCTTCACATTATGCACTTAGCAACATTTTCTCTTGTGGATGAGAATAAATTTCTAATGGTGTCATGTGCACTTTAACATGGTGAAAATATGAAGCAAATGAAATTTAGGACAACCTCGTGAAACTAAGTGCATTTATTCTAGGCATGCAAAATATTGATAGTTTGCATTTTCATGCATCATAATATGGATGTATTTGCTTAAAAAAAACATGTAACTGGAACATGATGAAACCTCACCTATCATCATCACTTGGAAATTTACTTCGAATTTTAGAATAAACACAAGGGAAGTCTTTTATTTGCCCCGACGTACTCCCAAACAAAACGCACAAACTGCCTATAAGCGATTGCCCTAAAATACCTACAAAGTTAATGACATCAATGCAATCATATTAGTTATATGTATACACTATACTCGTAGATATAAGCTTATTATGTGTTGCGGTACTTACTCAAAATCCGTCGCTTCCCCACGATTAGCACTGTACGATTTCTTCTTTCTAGTCTTTAGCCCAACAGCAGCCGTATCAAGGACCCACTCGTCCAAGCAAACATTTTCGAATCCTCTATGTTCCGTAATACAAAGATCATCCATACCAGCATCCTCCATCTTTGAAACGCACCGATCGACTTCAAAACAGCACCAACATTCGTCCGATTTAACAACATAATCTAAACTGCAATTGCCACACTTACACCTGAAAGTTAAGTGTCGCATTAGCCCAATCAGATTGAAAAAAATTCTATAAAATGTCACATACCAATCCTTCAACTCAGTTTCTCCTGCAAAACGACTCAATAACATCAGCTCTTCTTCTTCTTCTTC